TCCGTGTTCATCAAGAACTGTAAGAAGCCCCTATCACGAGCCTTTACCATCCTATGGAGAGGGAGCATGGACACGGGGGTCGTCCCACAGTTACTAAAAACAACAGACATAGCCCCACTCCACAAAAGGGGCAGTAAAGCAACAGCAAAGAACTACAGACCGATAGCACTAACATCCCATATCATAAAAATCTTTGAAAGAGTCCTAAGAAGCAAAATCACCACCCATCTAGAAACCCATCAGTTACACAACCCAGGGCAACATGGGTTTAGAACAGGTCGCTCCTGTCTGTCTCAACTATTGGATCACTACGACAAGGTCCTAGATGCACTAGAAGACAAAAAGAATGCAGATGTAATATATACAGACTTTGCAAAAGCCTTCGACAAGTGTGACCATGGCGTAATAGCGCACAAAATGCGTGCTAAAGGAATAACAGGAAAAGTCGGTCGATGGATCTATAATTTCCTCACTAACAGAACACAGAGAGTAGTAGTCAACAGAGTCAAGTCCGAGGCAGGCACGGTGAAAAGCTCTGTTCCACAAGGCACAGTACTCGCTCCCATCTTGTTCCTCATCCTCATATCTGACATAGACAAGGATGTCAGCCACAGCACCGTGTCTTCCTTTGCAGATGACACCCGAATCTGCATGACAGTGTCTTCCATTGCAGACACTGCAAGGCTCCAGGCGGACATCAACCAAATCTTTCAGTGGGCTGCAGAAAACAATATGAAGTTCAACGATGAGAAATTTCAATTACTCAGATATGGGCAAACACGAGGAAATTAAATCTTCATCAGAGTACAAAACAAATTCTGGCCACAAAATAGAGCGAAACACCAACGTCAAAGACCTGGGAGTGATCATGTCGGAGGACCTCACCTTCAAGGACCATAACATTGTATCGATCGCATCTGCTAGAAAAATGACAGGATGGATAATGAGAACCTTCAAAACGAGGGATGCCAAGCCCATGATGACACTCTTCAGGTCACTTGTTCTATCTAGGCTGGAATATTGCTGCACACTAACAGCACCTTTCAAGGCAGGTGAAATTGCTGACCTAGAAAATGTACAGAGAACCTTCACGGCGCGCATAACGGAGATAAAACACCTCAATTACTGGGAGCGCTTAAGGTTCCTGAACCTGTATTCCCTGGAACGCAGGCGGGAGAGATACATGATTATATACACCTGGAAAATCCTAGAGGGACTAGTACCGAACTTGCACACGAAAATCACTCACTACGAAAGCAAAAGACTTGGCAGACGATGCAACATCCCCCCAATGAAAAGCAGGGGTGTCACTAGCACGTTAAGAGACCATACAATAAGTGTCAGGGGCCCGAGACTGTTCAACTGCCTCCCAGCATACATAAGGGGGATTACCAACAGACCCCTGGCAGTCTTCAAGCTGGCACTGGACAAGCACCTAAAGTCGGTTCCTGATCAGCCGGGCTGTGGCTCGTACGTTGGTTTGCGCACAGCCAGCAGTAACAGCCTGGTTGATCAGGCTCTGATCCACCAGGAGGCCTGGTCACAGACCGGGCCGCGGGGGCGTTGACCCCCGGAACTCTCTCCAGGTAAACTCCAGGTTTGAACTCGATTTAAGTCGCAATAAACAATTGTAAATTTAGGGCTCGATACAACGTATGCTGTCAGTGGCCCAGTAACCTCAACAAGGCTGTACATTTACAGTAGTTTATTACGGCTTAAATAGACTATATGGTTTTTACGGAGGCGGGGATAGGTTTACCATGCAAGCTCCCGGAGCTGTGGGGAAGAGTCAGTAGGTCACAGATGGTGCCAGTTCTATACAGTTTTCAATACACTTTTTTCTGTTGCATTTATGAATAAATCACTGTATAGAAGCTTTATAAGCGAGCTGACTGTACGTCGCATATTACTTCACCGTGTAGGCTACAACACAAACTACCTGGAGTTTACCTGGAGAGAGTTCCGGGGGTCAACGCCCCCGCGGCCCGGTCTGAGACCAGGCCTCCTGGTGGATCAGAGCCTGATCAACCAGGCTGTTGCTGCTGGCTGCACGCAAACCAACATACGAGCCACAGCCCGGCTGATCCGGAACTGACTTTAGGTGCTTGTCCAGTGCCAGCTTGAAGACTGCCAGGGGTCTGTTGGTAATCCCCCTTATGTGTGCTGGGAGGCAGTTGAACAGTCTCGGGCCCCTAACTAAGAGTAGACATGATCACAACATACAAAATACATAATGTATACAAAATACACAAAGGCATACATGTAGATATGATAGAGAAGGATAACCTCGTTACCAGAAAAGCAGTAAGAACAAAGGAACAAGGGGCCATAATGGTAAATTACACATCCAAAAGAATCACAAGGTGTACATAAGGATGCTCGTAGCTCAATTGGTAGATTAAGCTTGTACACGGGGACTGAGATTCAATCCCCGGACGAGTGGAAACGTTGGGCATGTTATACATTCTGCCCTGGTTCACCTAGCAGTGAGTAGGTACCTAGGTGTTAGCCGTTTGGTGTGGGTTTTATACTGAGAGAAATTAAGTGACAGTAGACATAAGCCCGTCTGATGACAATTGCTTTATAGGGTTACAGTGAGTTACTAACCCTCACGGTTAATACTCTGAACGCAATTTTATCATTCCATGTTTCCCTCTGTGTAGTGCTTTTTCAGGTCATTCAGAAGATTTGCTCGCCCTCTGTACCTTCACACAAACGATGCTTCCATAAAACCGTCTCTGGAGTTTACCTGGAGAGAGTTCCGGGGGTCAATGCCCCTGCGGCCCGGTCTGTGACCAGCCTGATCAACCAGGCTGTTACTGCTGGCTGCACGCAATCCAACGTACGAGCCACAGCCCGGCTGGTCAGGCACCGACTTTAGGTGCTTGTCCAGTGCCTGCTTTATGGAAAATTACATTTATCTGAATGTAACTAATTATGTACATAACAGTAAATGATAACAAAGATAATTATTATTTATCAATGTTACATAGACAAGTAGGAATTTGGGACACCTAGGTCGCAAAAAATGTCCCCCTTCGACACCTACCACTGTCATAACCACAAGTTGTTCTGGACCTATTAATTAAATGAAATATACATACACCAGGAATACTGGTAAATATATAAATTTGTGGACTGTATATTAAAAATAATAAATGGCTATATATATACACAATTACATAACAGAAGGAAAATATATCTTAATATCACTCACCAATTTGACTGGAGATTAATGTGTATCATACTCAGAAACCCTCACTCTAACTAAATCTATGAAAATAATGCTGGCCAGAATTACACACAGATCTAGAGAGCTTACCTGATGTTCCTGGAGCTGTCTTGTCCAGTCGTCTGATATCTCAAGTTATGCTGGAATGCACATCCACCAATTTCGCCTCCTATTTGAGAGGTGTCAGCCCAATTTTAACCTCTAGAGCACGAAAATTCCTTCCCATTACACTAACGTTGTATCCAATTCAAATCCAAGATGGCGAGTCTCCTCTGCCCAGACGCAGGCTTTCCGTTTTCTATGACATAAATATTATTAAATACAGTATGGCCATCTATTTACATATAAATACTGAATTTCTGGAAAATATGTACAGTATTTTCCACGTGCTTGAAGACAGACAGGGGTCTATTGGTAATCCCCCTTATGTATGCTGGGAGGCAGTTGAACAGTCTCGGACCCCTGACACTTATTGTATTGTCTCTTAACGTGCTAGTGACACCCCTGCTTTTCATTGGGGGGATGTTGCATCGTCTGCCGAGTCTCTAACCTGTGTTTTTTTTCAACTTTGTATTGCCAGCAAGAACTAAATACCCTACACTGTGTAGCTTCCGTTATCTATGAGACATTTTATAAAGTTCGAGCAAAAATTGAGACATTATCACAGAGAATAGTTATTCCTACACAGGTGTCGTTGCAAGAGCTGCAGCATCAACATAAATGTGTTGTCACGTAATGCATAGCCAAGCAGATGAATAAGACACATGTGCAACACCTGGGTATCTTTATCGGCAATAAAGATACCCAGGTGTTGCACATGTGTCTTATTCATTAACTTGTCGGTACTGTATACTATCAATAATTTGACAGACAATAAGCTAGAAATATTGTGATGAATGGTTCTGAAAACCGACAAGTTGAAGAATTGAGACACTTATGCAACATATGGGAATCTTTATTGAAGAAATGTTTCGCCACACAGTGGCTCCATCAGTCGCCTCACCTGACTACAGTATATAAGCCACGTCTACGGCCCTGTGCTGTACTTTCTACAAGATTGATGGACTGAACACTTCGACTCCAGGCTGAGGGACTGATTACCTCAAACTCCTCCTCTCCTTATAACTCCCTGCTTTTTATAAGACTGATGAAGCCACTGTGTGGCGAAACATTTCTTCGATAAAGATTCCCATATGTTGCATAAGTGTCTCAATTCTAGAAATATTGTGTTGTTGCCTTTAGTTCAGCATCACAGAACTTGAGTAAATTGTTAGTTGAGTGTTTTGTGTATTTTACATGTCACAAACTTTTGAAGTGTGTTCATGTAGTCTACACACGTTATACACATGCCTTCCCTAACTGTTCCTTATAAATTTACACCTATTGCATGTAAGCGCATATTTTTTCATCAATTTTACTAACCCTGTAATGAGATAGGCCATCCGGAGATATTCACCTCATTATAGTAACTCTAGCCCCTGCCAGTACAAATAAGTACAATTATCATACCTAGTGTAAATTACGTACCAGGATAAGCCCCTCCAAAAAAGCCAGTGTGACTTTATTTCCAATAGAGTTCTTGTAATATCTTTCTATTTAAGCCTTAAGAGGTAAAACAGGTAGGTATACTAGTGAATAACTCGATCCAGTGAACTGGAGCTACCTTCCCCCGCCCTTCCTCAAGCAAAAAAAAAATAAGTTATTACTTTCCCTATGGGTTTAGCTCTTGCCCCATGAATATAACGATGCTGTAAGTCTCAAAAGTTCATTAAAAAATAATTTAGTGTGGTAGGTGCTGGTAAACAGTGTAGTGGTTCCCTGAACGGCCGCCAGAGTCACCAGTCTCACCACCTTGTGTACACTGCCGTCATTCTCTCCTCATTTACACCTATTATCACCCCTCTAACTAACATCTAGGTACGTACATGCCTAACCCCTAATCCCTTGGTGACGTCTGTATCACCAGCAGCACCAAGAAGTTGCTTTAACTTGTGTAAAAGTGAGTGTTAAGGTGGGAGTGTGTGCTGGAAGCCCCACCCATTAAGGTGGAAAATCGTTGCAGCTGATAACGCATTGATGCATTATTACTGGTTATATGCTCACTCCGGCTTATCTTTACATCTGTCATTGTTCTACTCTTAATTGAGGATGTGTCGTTTGTTTAATTTCATGATCTTGGGGGATTTGAGGAGCTGAGAGGAGATATATAATCAGGGTTTGAACGGATGTTGGTTATAAACCCTCGTTGTCTCAATAAAGTTTTATTTTTATTGAATGATTTATATATTGGTTTATTAATATACTTATATTTTATATCTATAGTTTATTTACATTTTATTTGTTGTTGGAGTATGTTTTATACTAATTAAAATCTTTTACCATCAATGTGTCCTTTGAATTTGGTTAGCCACCAGGCCCGGTGGCCTGGTGGCTAAAGCTCCCGCTTCACACACGGAGGACCCGGGTTCGATTCCCGGCGGGGTGGAAACATTTCAACACGTTTCCTTACACCTGTTGTCCTGTTCACCTAGCAGCAAATAGGTACCTGGGTGTTAGTCGACTGGTGTGGGTCGCATCCTGGGGGACGAGATTAAGGACCCCAATGGAAATAAGTTAGACAGTCCTCGATGATGCACTGACTTTCTTGGGTTATCCTGGGTGGCTAACCCCCCGGGGTTAAAAATCCGAACGAAATCTTATCTTAGGTAAACTCCAGGTTATCTTAACTTTGCACAGTAAAGTATTATATATTTATGTATTAAAGATGACGTAGAAATAGAATATTCAAACAGCCTCAAGGAGAAATTTTGGTATTTTTCCTGGACACATTTGTATTTACTTGAAGGGGATGGTTCCTCACACATATACCCAGAGAAGGACCCTAAGTCAGTATACACAAATACAGTTATAGATTATCATACATAGCAGCATATGTGTAGAGAACCTGGGATAACCCAAAAACGTCAAAGTGACATATTTCCATTGGGGGTCCCCTGTCTTGCAGGATCTGTAAATTATACATAATTTGCTGTAGTACAGTGTATACATATGTACATTTTATGCATGGTTCATAGAATTCCGAGGCTCGAGTTATGTAAATTTTCCAATATTATGTGGTTTATGCAATGAATATATACTTTGGACCTGTGGACGTTTTTGTAACAAAAAATGAGTCTAACCCAACCTAAACTAGAATTACCTTTAAATCTGTGTTAGGTGAGGTTGAGTTTTCTCCATATGCACAGAATTTCTTCCACTCATTGGGAGATAAGAACTGTTAAATTTTTTTTTAACTTCCCATCTCCTACAGAGGTAGGGTGACAAAAAAAAAAAACTGACATTCATTCATTCATTCATTCATTCAATCATTCAGTCCATCACTGTCTTTCCAAATGTGTGTTAACATCAATATTCAGATAGCCCTTTGAACTGCTGCACCCTACCTTTCCTTTAGAGTGTAGGTACTGTACCTCCCACCTTCAGAACCCAAGTTTAGCTAACTGGTTTTCCCTGAATCCCTTCATAATGTTACAGTATTCACACTCCAACACCATGGCAAGTCAAAAACCACTTTCCTCCATTGGTCACAGACCGGGCCGCGGGGGCGTTGACCCCCGGAACTCTCTCCAGGTAAACTCTTATCTAACACATGCTTGCCCAAACTTGTTGGATGTCCAAGCCCCTAGAACTCAAAACCTCCTTTTCTCCCTTCCAACCTTTTCTGGGATGACCCTTACTCCTCCCTTCCATCCCAGATTTATACACTCTCCTAGTTATTTTATATAATCCTACTGTATGCAAGTACTTTATCAGTGTAGTACTGTTCTCTATTTAATATTCACTAATAAATACTGTACCTATAATGTTAGTTTTTGATAATTCTGAAATTAAAATTACAGCCCTAACAGACAATGGCTGAGGATGAAAATGTGGAAATTGAGCCAGTACCTGAAGAGGATGAACCAACAAACTACAAACCCCCACCAGAGAAGACGTTGGAGGAGATGTTGAACAAGGACACTGAAGATGAGTCACTCCGCAAGTACAAAGAAACACTACTTGGGAGTTCTGCTGCTGGGGCCACAGTTATTGGTATGTTAAATAGGGGGCTTCAGATAGAATGTAGATGTTGGGTATCCACTTATTAGGTGCTGTACAACAAACAAACAAATGCAGGATCTCGGTGGTTTCCTATTAGAGCCATAGACCTTAGCATTTTGTTATGTATATTCTCCAATCACTGGGTTGTGGAATGGAGGCATATTTTGGGTCAGCAGAGATAAACTACTCTGGGAGATGAGAGGTGTTTGTCCCAAGCTGAAAGGAGGCTAGCATGTGGTGGAGGTAGGTCCTCTGAGAGAAGAGGCCAGTGTATGTTGATCTCAAGGGATACCTCGTAGTGAGGTATTCCTCAAGTCTATGGATAAAATAAAATAGGCTCATATAATTTACTTGGAATTTGACAGGAAGAAAAACATGAATATTCAGTTATTGCAGTTTTCTGGAGATACTACAGTCGGTGCTTCCCTCCCTTAAATTATATCTGAATGTCTCCCTTTCCCCCAGATGAATATGATCTCTACGGGTTTGTTGCTCCCCCACGAATGTAATAGTAATTTAGATAATACATAATCTTCACTTTTAGCTAAATAATTGTCATTATATATACCTTGGATGTCATACAGTAACCTGTAGACTAAGTCAAACATTAAATTTTTTTACCTAGAAATATAAAACTTAAGTCAGTGGAAAATCCTTGTACTAATTCCAGATATGTATATGGTAAATATTTGAGTAGTTATGATTTTTTTTTACCTAAGTTATGATGTCCTAAATAAATGCTTGTCTTGTGACCTCAACATAACCTGTATATAGACTAAACAGCTAAGATTACATGCCTAAGTACAGAGCACATGGTAACCTTGAACACTAAATTTAAAGAAATATGGAGGTGAGACTGGTTGTCTTATCCTGGGACTCCTGTTATGGTTCATTGTAACATGACTCATTCCCACACTTCTCTAAGATTGAAGGAAAAAAAGTGAGGGGAAAGCAAGATGATTTTATATGAGGCTCATTGTTTCATTTAAGATGTATAATGGGGTAGGTGGCAGGGGTTATTGTAATCTAGGGTACCACCTCCAGTCATGGCTGCATGTGAAATGTATGGTATGAAATACTGTCACGATGAAAACACAAATACTGTGTAATAAGACTTTTTTTGTTGACAACAGTTTGCCTGCACTGTGGGCTTTTTCAAGTCAGAGGAACCTGGATGATCATTTATACATAGGGAGCCTAGTCAGGCATAGTCATGTTAAGTGTGTTAAAGCATTAACCTTGCAAAGCTTTAAAAATTGTTACACAAATTTGATTGAACAGGGTTGGATTTGAAAAGATCCTGTCTAATATGGGCCAGTAGGCCTAATACAGTACTCAGTTCTGTTGCTCTGTGGGATACCATTCCACAAGACTTTTCAAGAGGCTCGGCTATGTTGTAGAAGTCATTCAATTTGATAAACAAGTGATGATGCCAGGATCCTGCATTTGTGTCTTTGATAGAGTTGTGCTCCCTTCCAGTTGATCAGGTAGTTGTAGTTTGTGTGAAATGGCCTCTTGCTAAAAAGCTCCTGGATCAATTTCCCCACAGAGTAACAGAATGGAGCACTGCAGTAGGCCTACTGACCCATGCTGGACAGATCCTTGTCAAATCCAACCCTGCTCAGTCATACTTGTCTAACCATATTTTTAGTTACCCAATGTTTAAAGCACTTACTCCAAGACCCTCTCTCCATTCTAATGTGCATGTGTGTGTGTAAAATGTATACGTGTATGTATATAATGTCTACACGTGTGTGTAGCATGTACAGTGGAACCTCGGTTTTCGTATGCCCCAGTTTTTGTAGGATTCAGTTTTCGATGACTTTTCGTTGAAATTTTGTCCCAGTTTTCATACATCTGCTCGGTTTTCGTAGAGTTGAAAATGGTCCGTATCAAACACGTCCATGTGACTTGGCCACTCAAACACCCACACAAAGCATCAGTCTGCCTTTGTTTCTCATTGAGTGAGCATCACCCCACGCATTCATCCATTGTTTTTTGTGCTTGTTTATTGAATGCGACTGTTAAATAGGCCAGCATATGGCCAAAGAAAGTTCCGAATGCCAGCCCTTTGATAAAGAAGGCGAGATGACCCTACGCATATTGTGGAATCTGTTTTGTCTTTGGGGAAGTCCATGGGATTAGATGTGAGTGGCCAGGATGTGGAAGAGCTGGTGGACGACAGCAGGGAAGAGCTAACCACTGAAGAGCTGTAAGAATAAAAATTCAAAGTGGAAAGCCAAAGAAATATAAGAGGGGCCTGGGGATGTGACTAATGAACAGAGAACTTGTTATTTTAGTGCCAGGAATGTCTTTCTTGTTTATTCTGGACCCTATTTGGAAATTGGCATCTTCTGAAATTTGTGTGAAATTGGCAAAATTTCCAATTTCTAACCACTTTATTGGATAGTTGAAATTGGTAAATGGGTGGTTTCTTGTACTCATTCAATAGAAGAAATGGAGTTATAGCGAAATAAATGATTTTTATCGATTAGTACACAGGAATTGGCCAAAAATAGGGCTCAAAGTGGGCGGAATCGTCGATGCGTAAACATCGGCGAGACTGCTAACTTCGCAAGAACATAATTCCGTAAGTTTTCCATCAAATTTCATACTTTTGGTGTCATTATGATCGGGAAAAGATTCTCTATCATTTCATAAGTCTCCCCCCCCCCCCCCCAAAAAAAAAAAATCGACCCTAAGAACAAGTTTAGGAGAGGGCCTCTCGACCCTGAAAGGGTTAAAAGACCAAGAAGGGAAGTAACCCCAGATAAGGACTTGGTACTTCAAGTCCTTATGGAGGGGGATATTCCTTCCAAACACAAAGCCCTCCCTCTTTCCTCCTCCCTATCTTCCAGAAGCCAGCATTAGTCTTCAATAAAGGTATGTAATATTTTTTTTTTTTTTTCCCTGGAACGGATTAATTGTATTTCCATTTATTCTTATGGGAAATATTATTTCGGTTTTCAGCTGACCTTCTGGAACGAATTATGACCGATAACCGAGGGTCCACTATACTGTAGTTATTATTGAAAGAATTGAGAGTCAGATGAAGAGCAGGATCGCAGATGAACAAGAAGCTTTAGAAAAGATAGGGGATGTGTAAACCAAGTGTTTACTGTGAAACATATAGGTGACCAGTATTTAGATAAGGGTAAAGAGGTTTTTGTTGCATTTTTGGATTTGGAAAAAGCATATGATTGGGTACATAGGAGGGCAGTGTGGCAGATTGTTAGGTAAGACACACATGCACACAGGTAAGACACACATGTTCTTATGAGTGAGAGGGGTTGGATTTGAGTGGGAGTTGCATATGAGAGTGGATAGTTATCAGAGCTTATTTCTTGGGTGGCATTGAAAATTGGGTTGGGCAAATGTTTTTAGTGGGATGGATTGTAAAGGACCTGCCTAGTATGGGCCAACAGGCCTGCTGCAGTGTTCCTCCTTTCTTATGTTCTTATGCAACAATTGTCAATATTTTATACCATTTTAATATTCACAATGTGGCAGACGTTGCATATACAGGTGCAACATCAATTTTCTCGACACTGATGGTCCGGAACAATGCAAATACACGAGCAGGAACTTGAAATTCCCACGGCACTTATCCAACCCAAAGACCAAGGAATACTGTGCTCTCTAAAGGCGGAAAAATTAGTAATCCAGAAAGGCTTTGGAACCAAAGGTCCAGAAAATCAATGTTGTACCTGTACTATATGGAATAGGTGGTAGATTACTGAAAGCAGTGAAGAATTTCAATGAAGATAGTGAGGCTCAGGTTAGAGTATGTAAGAGAGAGGGGAAATTATTTCCTAGTAAAGGTAGGTCTTAGACAAGGATGCGTGATGTTACCATGGTTGTTTGATATATTTGTGGGGTTGTAAGAGAAGTGAATGGTCGGGTATTGGCAAGAAGTGTGGGATAAAAAGATAAAGAATCTAACATAAAGTGGGAGTTGTCACAGTTGCTTTTTGCTGATGACACTGCTTTTGGGAGATTCTGAAAAGTTGCAGAGGTCATTGGACAAGTTTGGTAGGGTATGTAAAAAGAAATTAAAAGTGAACTTAGGGAAGAGTAAGGTGATGAGGATAAAACTTAATGATAGATTGGATATCAAATTGGAGGGAGTTTTATGGAGGAAGTGAATGTATTCAGATATCTGAGAGTGGATTTGTGAGCAGATGTGTGTATGAAAGATTAGGTGCATCATAGAATTGATGTGGGAGAAAAAGGTGAGTGGTGCACTGAGGAGTCTGTGGAGACAAAGAACATTATCCGTGGAAGCAAAGAGAGGAATATATGAGAGTATAGTTATACCAACACACTCATATGGGTGTGAAGCATGGGTGGTGAATGTTGTAACAGGGAGAAGGCTGGAGGAAGTGGAGATGTCGTGTATGTGCGGTGTGAATATAATGCAAAGAATAAATAGTTTGGAGATTAGGAGGTGTGGGGTTACTAAAAGTATTATCCAGAGGGCTGAAGAGGAGTTGAGGTAGTTCAGACATTAAGAGAAGATGGAACAAAATAGAATGACTTGGAGAGCATATAAATCTGTAGTGGGAGGAAGTCTGGGGAGGGGTCAGCCTATGAAAGGTTGGAGGGAGGGCGTAAAGGAGGTTCTATGTGCGAGGGGCTTGGACTTTCAGCAAGCGTGCATGAGCATGTTATATAGGAACGAGTGAAGAGAAATGTTTTTTATAACTTAACGTGCTGTTGGAGTGTGAGCAAAGTAACATTTAGTTAGGGATTCAGGGGAAACCAGTTAGCCGGACTTGAGTCCTGGAGATTGGAAGTACAGGGCTTGTGCTCTGAAGGAGGGATGTTGATATGTTGCAATTTTTTTTTTAACTGTAGTGTGGGCATACTTCTGGCAAGACAGTGATGGAATGAATGATGGTGAAAGTGTTTCTTCTATTTTTAGGTTGCCCTGCTTCAGTGGAAAACAGCCAATATGTTAATAAAAGTAATGTATATAAAAAATGGATATCTACTTTTAAGCAGGATTTATGATTATCATTTGGTGTAATAAAAAAAAATCAGTATACAGCTTGTCATTTTTTCTCAGAACCAGATAACCAAAACCGTGTATTGGTCAGGAAGCTGGTGCTGTTAGCGGAAGGTCAACCTGACATGGAGTTGGACCTTACTGGGGATCTTGAGAAACTTAAGGAGACTGTCTTCATTATAAAGGTCTGAATACTTAATAGTTTGCTAATTCATTTTCAATGAATTTAATGGTGCAAGAGGCAAATTCGTTTGTTTTTATTGTATCTTAGCTGATAGTTTAATATTTATTCAGTAAATGTTTGTCTTTATGTAACTTAGAAGCAATATATTGTACAAGATTTAGGGCATAATTATTTTTTTACTGTAGTTCTATGTGCTGTAAGACCATTATGCATTTGGGTTTCTTTTAAAATGTAATGCAGTGAACCCTCGTTTTAACTGACTAATGGGGGGAAGGGAGTGTAAATTTTATTCCAAATTTTAAAAATTTTTCCTGGTAAAACATGAATAAACGCCGGAGTCAATGTATGTGGTTCACTGGATCCAGAGACTATCGGATACATTGGAATAATTACACCTACCATCCGACTTACGCCCTGCTCGACATACGACCATTCGACTTACGACCTTGTTTTCTATGCCAAATTTCTGGGAAATGAACAACTGTTTGTGTTGTACACAGTGTTTATCCTAAACCTTACAGTATAAAATACAGTACTAACAGCATAAAAAGTAAAGTAAAAAATGAAATACCAAAATAAAACAATAAAATAAAGTCATTACAGAAATGTGATGTTGATATTCAGTAGTAAGGTTTGACTTGCGTCCATTTCGACTTACGACCGGTTTGTCGGAACTGAACTCAGTCGTAAGTCGGATGGTACCTGTATTCCTTAGAAATACTATGTTATCTCTAATGAATAATATAACTTTACAGTTCTGTACTGTAAATAAAAAATTAAAAGTATAATACTGCAAGCATGTGCTATAGAGTATCTGCAGAAATTTTACTTAGTTTTGTGGTGGAGAGATGTGTAAAGTGCCATGATTAATAGAGATGACTTGTATAATTACTATTCTGAGTCATAGGAGGTGTAAAGCTCCACTAGAGACATATAGTTGATTGAGAAGTTAAGGCATGTAACCCTCTTTAGTTTGCCATGCTGATGTTGCTCCCATTGTGATACATTTGTAACTTTGGATAATGGGCTTGCACTTCTCTTTTACTCGAGAGGCCAGTGTACATGTTTATGAACATCAATTGCATCTTGTACAACAGGTTTAGTAACATGTCTCGTCCTCTTTCTATCTGTTCTCTGGCAATATCAAGAGACTAGTCTGTAATTTCTGCATCAATCAATATCTGATAACTAGTAAGTCATTTTCTTCTAACCATGTTATCATATCTTCTGTACCTACTGTTTCTTCCATTCTCCTGAAGAGTATGCTGAAATTCTCTGGCCTAGCCTCCTCAGTAGAATGCAGTATCAAGGTTACATAAAAAAAAAATCCAATCAATAGATAATGTCCTTTTCAATTCCATGACACAAGGTTGAAGATGGTAGACTATTGTTCATACTATTTTGATGTTCTCGAATGTACATAAGCCTCCATAAAGCTTTCCAAATCTAATTCCTCTTCAGTCACTACCAGTAACTAATCTAAGTACCTAGACTAGTACAGCCTCTTGCAGGCTGCAATAATCCCCTAATCCATAAGTTGGATCAGAGATGTTGTTTTAGGGGGTAGAAACATGACTAATTTTACCATCACTGCTGCTTAATTTTTTAATGCTACATGACTAGATATGTTATCAGACAACAGAAGAGCCTTAATATCCTTGGAATTTAGTTTAACTCTTTTACTGTTGGTGGCGTAGTACTATGGCTTACAAGCCAGTGTTGGTGCCGTAGTACTACACCAAAATTCTAGCGGCTTCAAATCTAGTGGGAGAAAGCTGGTAAACCTACATACGAGAGAATGGGTCTGAGTGGTCAGTGTGCACAGTATAAAAAAAATCCTGCAGCACGCAGTGCATAATGAGAAAAAAACTTCCGACCTTGTTTTTTATTTAAAACACTGATTTTGTGGTGTATTTTCGTATGGTATTTATGGTCGTATTCTCATTTTCTTGGTCTCAAATGATAGAATGGAAGATATACAGTGGACCCTCGACCAACGATGGCATCGATTAACGATAAATCCGACTAGCGATACATTTTATCGCAAACATTTTGCCTCGACTAGCGCTAAAAAACCCGACCAACGCTATTCGTTTCGTTCGAGACGCGTCCACTTTGGCCTGAGCGCGCCTCACTTGTCCCATGGGTGCCAGTGATTACAAACCAGCCACCCACTGCGGTCGCTTCCAAACATACAATTGGGACATTTCATATTATCACAGCCTTTGTAGTGACTGCACCTGCAAAATAAGTCACCATGGGCCCCAAGAAAGCTTCTAGTGCCAACCCTACAGCAAAAAGGGTGAGAATTACTATGGAGATGAAGAAAGAGATCATTGCTAAGTATGAGAGTGGAGTGCGTGTCTCCGAGCTGGTCAGGTTGTATAGTAAACCCCAATCAACCATCGCTACTATTGTGGGCAAGAAAACGGCAATCAAGGAAGCTGTTCTTGCCAAAGGTGCAACTATGTTTTCGAAACTGAGATCGCAAGTGATAAATGTTGAGAGACTCTTATTGGTGTGGATAAACAAAAAACAGATAGCAGGAGATAGCATCTCTCAAGCGATCGTATGTGAAAAGGCTAGGAAGTTGCATGACAATTTAATTAAAAAATGCCAGCAACTAGTGGTGATGTGAGTGAATTTAAGGCCAGCAAAGGTTGGTTTGAGAGATTTAAGAAGCGTAGTGGCATTCATAATGTGATAAGGCATGGTGAGGCTGCCAGTTCGGACCACAAAGCAGCTGAAAAATATGTGCATGAATTCAAGGAGTACATAGACAGTGAAGGACTCGAACCTGAACAAGTGTTTAATTGTGAAGAAACAGGCCTGTTTTGGAAGAAAATGCCAAGCAGGACCTACATTACTCAGAAGGAAAAGGCACTCCCAGGACATAAGCCTATGAAAGACAGGCTTACTCTGTTGATGTGTGCCAATGCTAGTGGTGATTGCAAAGTGAAGCCTTTATTGGTGTATCACTCTGAAACTCCCAGAGTGTTCAGGAAAAACAATGTCCTCAAGGCTAATTTGTGTGTGCTGTGGAGGGCAAACAGTAAGGCATGGGTCACTAGGGACTTTTTCTATGACTGGTTACACCATGCATTTGCCCCCACTGTGAAAAATTACCTAACTGAAAAGAATTTAGACCTGAAGTGCCTCCTGGTATTAGACAATGCTCCTGGTCATCCTTCAGATGTGGCAGAGTGACTTTCTGCAGAAATGAGCTTCATTAAGGTGAAGTTTTTGCCTCCTAATACCACTCCTCTCCTGCAGCCCATGGACCAGCAGGTCATTTCCAACTTCAAGAAACTGTACACAAAAGCTATGTTTGAAAGGTGCTTTGTAGTGACCTCAGAAACTCAACTGACTCTAAGAGAGTTTTGGAAAGATCACTTTACCATCCTCAGTTGTGTAAACATTATAGGTAAGGCTTGGGAGGAAGTGACTAAGGGACCTTGAACTCTGCTTGAAAAAACTGTGGCCAGAATGTGTAGACAAAAGGGATTTTGAAGGGTTTGAGGCTAACCCTGAGAATCCTATGCCAGTTGAGGAATCCATTGTGGCACTGGGGAAGTCCTTGGGGTTGGAGGTTAGTGGGGAGGATGTGGAAGAGTTGGTAGAGGAGGACAATGAAGAACTAACCACTGATGAGCTGCTAGATCATCTTCATCAGCATGAGGCCAGACCTGAGGAAACTGCTTCGGAGGAGGGGATAGAGAAATTGAAGAAGTTGCCTACTTCTAAGATTAAGGAAATCTGTGCAATGTGGCTTAAAGTGCAAACCTTTATGGATGAAAATCACCCTGACACAACTACTGCAAGCCGTGTTGGCAACCTGTACACTGACAATGTTGTGAAACACTTTAGAAATGTCATAAAGGAACGGGAGGTACAGGCCTCTATGGACAGATATGTTGTGCGACAGAAGTCCAGTGACTCTCAAGCTGGTCCTAGTGGCATTAAAAGAACAAGGGAAGTAACCCCGGAAAAAGAGTTGCTACCTCAAGTCCTAATGGAAGGGGATTCCCCTTCTAAACACTAAGAAGATCCACTCTCCCCCCTCCTCCCATCCCATCAATCATCACCAGATCTTCAATAAAGGTAAGTGTCATGTATTTCATGTATTCTATTCTTAGTATAGTAGTAATTGTGCATGTCTTCTTCAGTTTGTGTGTATTAAAATTAATATTTCATGTGGTAAAAATTTTTTTTTTCAATACTTTGGGGTGTCAGGAACGGATCAATTTGATTTCCATTATTTCTTATGGGGAAAATTAACTCGATTAACGATTATTTCGATTAACGGTGAGGTCTCAGGAACGGATTAATATCGCTGGTCGAGGGTCCACTGTATTATAGAAATTGAGATGATTTTGAATGGTTTTCGGACTAAAAGTACCTTGAAATTGAGCTCAAAGTATTGGAAATATTCGAGTTTTGCCGATGTTCAAGAGTAAACAAATCGCGCCATGCTTCCAATACACATCAGCTGGCGAGTCTAATAATATCCTTTCAAAAATGCACTGATATTATTTATATTTTTACAATAATGCAGTAGTCTCAATAATGGTAAATCTTCTATTTTTTGTGTGAAAAAATTCAAAATAGAAAGCAAGCGTAATATAAGAGGGACCTGGAAACGTCACTAATGAACAGAGAAAATGTTATTTTAGTGCTAGGAATGTCTGCATTGTTTATTCTGACCCCCATTTTGAAATTGGCCTTACTTGAATTGTGTACTTTCAAAATTGGCCAAATTAACAATTTCTGATCACTTTATTGGGTAGTTGAAATCAGTAAATAACAGTTTCTTGTACTCAGTCGATAGAACAAATGGAGTTCTAGTGAAATAGCTGTGGTTTGATCGACTGGAACAATGGAATTGGCTGAAAATAGGACTCGATGAGCAAAATCGCCAATGCGTAAATATCGCCGTGACTGCTAACTACGCGAGAGCATAATTCTGCAAGTCTTCCATCAAATTTCATACTTTTGGTGTCATTACCATTGGGAAAAGATTCTCTATAATTTCAAAAGATTTTTATTTTTTTTTAAATTTCCGACACTGAAGACAAGTTTGAGCAGGGGTCTCGACAGTGAAAGGATTAAGGACCTCGAGCTGATGCTTGCATACTTCAGGGAGGAAATGTGTAAAAAAAAAAAAAAAAAAAAAAAATGTTGCCAAATTCATCCTGTCAAACCAGCCTTTCTTACCCTTGTAATAATGACTGGCAACTATTATCCAGTCTTTTAAAGCATGTGGCTGCGCTCATTTGCTTGTAACTGTCAGTTTCAGATGGTGCTAACCATCAACATTAACAGCATAATACCGAGAAAGTTTTTGCTGAGCTTGAGGCCTGGTGTTCTTTTGTGCTGAATGGTATGTGCTAGAAAGGAGTGAAGACAAAAGAAATCAGTCTGATATGCATTGTATAGTTGAGATTGAAGTAGCTTCTTACAGTCTATCAGATCATTTAACATTAATCTGAACTGCCCAATTTTGTCTGAGGTGTATACTACATACCAGCCAAAACATAAATCTTTACCTTACTCAAGCCATGGCAATGACATAAGTGCCAAAACCATTTACCACTTGCCTGAAATTCCATGTCCATATGCTTTGCTAGACTATTAGCAGGAGAGTGAAGATCAACTCAGTGAATATTAACACCAGTAGAACTCTGAAATAGTATTTATACACTTCTTTAAGCTTTTTCTCTTGGTCCGTTTTTATGTGCTTTCTAGGATCAACTGTTGAACCTTTATGACTAGCATCTACACTAAACTTAAGAGCAAGTGCTGCAAGTTTGTCCTCGTATAGTGACTGAGATGTCAGCTCAGTTTTTCTTATAAGTTGAAGTTTCTGATTAACACTTGGATTCACACACTTCCTCTTGGCACCACCATATGCTTTAGATGCAGTTGTTAATATCACTGCATATAATATATTAATAGTTACAAAAAATACTAAATCCATTGAAAATCGAATGAGTGTATGGATGAACACAAATAATAAACTGACACCACCAGCCTGTCTTTATGAACAGAAACAACGAAAACATATGTCCATGACATGGACTCGAGGCCCGTCCAAATGCTAGTAGTAGCAGATTTTGTTCATTGGTTCTGGAGACTACTAGACTAACTTCTGCTAATGGGCAAAATCCATATCAAATGGACTCCCTCCTTCCTTCTTTTGTCTCTTGGTTCTGTAATTTATTTTATTTATTATCACACTGGCCGATTCCCACCAAGGCAGGGTGGCCCAAAAAAGAAAAACTTTCACCATCATTCACTCCATCACTGTCTTGCCAGAAGGGTGCTTTACACTACAGTTTTTAAACTGCAACATTAACACCCCTCCTTCAGAGTGCAGGCACTGTACTTCCCATCTCCAGGACTCAAGTCCGGCCTGCCGGTTTCCCTGAACCCCTTCATAAATGTTACTTTGCTCACACTCCAACAGCACGTCAAGTATTAAAAACCATTTGTCTCCATTCACTCCTATCAAACACGCTCACGCATGCCTGCTGGAAGTCCAAGCCTCGCACACAAAACCTCCTTTACCCCCTCTCTCCACCTTTCCTAGGCCGACCCCTACCCCGCCTTCCTTCCACTACAGACTGATACACTCTTGAAGTCATTCTGTTTCGCTCCATTCTCTCTACATGTCCGAACCACCTCAACAACCCTTCCTCAGCCCTCTGACAACAGTTTTGGTAATCCCGCACCTCCTCCTAACTTCCAAACTACGAATTCTCTGCATTATATTCACACCACACATTGCCCAGACATGACATCTCCACTGCTCCAGCCTTCTCCTCGCTGCAACATTCATCACCCATGCTTCACACCCATATAAGAGCGTTGGTAAAACTATACTTCTCATACATTCCTCTCTTTGCCTCTAAGGACAAAGTTCTTTGTCTCCACAGACTCCTAAGTGCACCACTCACTCTTTTTCCCCTCATCAATTCTATGATTCACCTCATCTTTCATAGACCCATCCGCTGACACGTCCACTCCCAAATATCTGAATACATTCACCTCCTCCCATACTCTCTCCCTCCAATCTGATATTCAATCTTTCATCACCTAATCTTTTTGTTATCCTCATAACCTTACTCTTTCCTGTATTCACCTTTAATTTTCTTCTTTTGCACACCCTACCAAATTCATCCACCAATCTCTGCAACTTCTCTTCAGAATCTCCCAAGAGCACAGTGTCATCAGCAAAGAGCAGCTGTGACAACTCCCACTTTGCGTGTGATTCTTTATCTTTTAACTCCACGCCTCTTGCCAAGACCCTCGCATTTACTTCTCTTACAACCCCATCTATAAATATATTAAACAATTTGTAATTTGTAATTTGTCCAGCCAAAATTTTGTCCATTGCTTCTAAATTATATTAAGTCTGGGTCTGTTAAATCGAGGTTTTACTGTAATTAATAATTATGTGATAGTAATACTGTAGTTATCTAACAGAGGCTAGATGTGACTTTTAGATTTTAGTTAAACAAAATGACTAAATTACTTAAGAAAAATTCTTTTCAGGAGGGTATTAGTTACAAGATACGCATCGACTTCCATGTACAACGGGAGATTGTGACTGGTTTGAAGTACATTCAACGAACATTTAGGAAGGGAATCCTAGGTATGTGTTGGTTTATAATTTTGTACTCTAGTTTTGCTACTTGAAATCAACATAATGTAGTATATGCAAGATGTGAAAGAAAGTTATCAGGAACTTAGCCTAGTATGCAGTAAGATCACAGTAAACAGGTGACATCACAGTGTGCAGAACAACCACTGTGAAAAGAATAGTGAACCTCCAAGCCCTTTTGTGATTTCTCACATTATGTGAGAAATCAAGGAACTAAGTTCCTTGATGTGAGAAATCACAAAAACACTTGGAAGTTCACTATTCTTTTCAGTGGTTAGCCTAGTATATTGAGTAACTTATTTGATTGGTGCTACAATTTTCCACATGTATTGCAGTATAATTTTCTTTCTGTATGATTACTTGAGACTGCCTTATTGGGTTGACTTCAACCCTGAAAAGAAATTACGTATGGTAGGGCTTCTCATAGCACTTTTAAATAGTGCTGTTCGTATTTATATTAAAAAATGTTAGTGTGCGGTTTTGCCCAAGTTTAAGCAAAGCAAAAGTTTTACAAAATTAGCTCAGCATGAACATTTCTCTGTACAGAAATTTATATGGCCTAGGGAAAGCTGGTTGCTGACTCTGGCTTGATTCAGGATATGCTGTAGTGACTCTCATAACCTAAACAGACAGACCCACAACAGTCAGCTGGTAAAACATAGATAACTTGTACCCGTCTACCTCAGTAGTCATGTAGCCTTAGCAACAAGGATTCAGCAAGAGAATTAGTAATTTAAGGTGGGATAGAATTCTTCCTTGTCACTTATAAAAGAAAATTGTATAGCAGAATGTGTAAGTGGCATCAGCTGATAAAACAATAACTCTTAACCATCTACCACTTGGTCACATGAACCATCTCCAAGCACTTTATCAACATGCCAGAAAACTAGGAATTTAAGGTAGGATCAAATTCTTCCATATCAGTATTATAAAAATTATAGTAAATTGTATGAGTGACATCAGTTTATAAAAAATAATTAAAGGTAGTGTAAAACTTTTGTTACTTTTTTAGTATTTTATGTTGATGAGATTAGTTTATAATAGTCACTGGTAGTGTATTAGCAATCAGTGGATGAAATGCTTATAGCCATAATAGTTTTTCCCTGCAACTGAAACTGTACTTGTTGGCTTGTGCCATCATTTTTCTGAGCTTTTCCTAATTTTAATAGGAAAATTGGTCACCTGGAGGTTTTTTTTCCCCCTCCTTCCCACACTTCAAGTTATGAAAATTGGGGTAATTTTGCTAAACTGGTTTTCCTTGAGATGGGGGATAATACTATTTTTTTTTTTTTTTACAAGTCAGCCGTCTCCCACTGAGGCAGGGTGACCCAAAAAGAAAGAAAATCCTCAAAAAGAAAATACTTTCATCATCATTCAACACTTTCACCTCACTCACACATAATCACTGTTTTTGCAGAGGTGCTCAGAACACAACAGTTTAGAAGTATATACATATAAATGACACAACATATCCCTCCAAACTGCTAATATCCTGAAACCCCTCCTTTAGAGTGCAGGCATTGTACTTCCCATTTCCAGGACTCAAGTCCGGCTATATAAAAATAACCAGTTTCCCTGAATCCCTTCACTAAATATTATCCTGCTCACACTCCAACAGATCATAAGGTCCCAAATACCATTCGTCTCCATTCACTCCTATCGAACACGCTCGTGCACGCCTGCTGGAAGTCCAAGCCCCTCGCCCACAAAACCTCCCTTGCCCCTTCCTTCCAACCTTTTCGAGGACGACCTCTACCCCGCCTTCCTTTCCCTACAGATTTAAATGCTCTCCATGTCATTCTACTTTGATCCATTCTCTCTAAATGACCAAACCACCTCAACAACCCCTCTTCAGCCCTCTGACTAATACTTTTATTAACTCTACACCTCCTAATTTCCACTCTCTGAATTTTCTGCATAATATTTACACCACACATTGCCCTTAGACAGGACATCTCCACTGCCTCCAACTGCCTCCTCGCTGCTGCATTCACAACCCAAGCTTCACACCCATATAAGAGTGTTGGTACTACATGTACTATACTTTCATTCCCTTGTTTGCCTCCATAGATAACTTTTTTTGTCTCCACATATACCTCAACGCACCACTTGCCTTTTTTCCCTCATCAGTTCTATGATTAACCTCGTCCTTCATAAATCCATCCGCCGACACTTCAACTCCCAAGTATCTGAAAACATTCACTTCTTCCATACCCCTTCCCAATTTGATATCCAATTTCTTATATAATTTTGAAAAAACATAGATTGATTATTGAAAATGTCTATATTAACATACAGTGGACCCTCAGTTTTCGTGTTTAATCCATTCCAGAGCCATCGGCCGAAACTGAAACCATTTTCAAAATAAGAAATAATGTAAATGGAATTAATCCGTTTCAGACACCCAGAAGTATCGACAAAAAAAATTTTTTTTACCTTAGACAGATTTACATGCACAAAAGAATGAACATTACACATGACACTTACCTTTATTGAAGGCTGTTGTTGATGGAGGAGGGAAGAGGTTATTGTTTGGAAGGGGAATCTCCCTCCATAAGGACTCTAGGTACCAAGTCCATATCAGCAGTCACTTCCCTAGCCACTTCTCTAGCTTAAATATAGATTTACATGCAGAAAAGAATGACAAATGTAAAGCACTAATAAAATGTATAAATGAACATTTAACATCACACTTACCTTTATTGAAAAGACTTGTTGGTGTGAGGGAGGGGAGGCGAGTTTATTGTTGGAGAATATGACACTAATATCAATTCTGCAGCTTATTTATCTATCACAATTCAACTAATATGACATAATAAGCAATCTTAATAACATAGAAACATGACATATACTCTAAAATGAATAAAATAAGTCATTATGTATGTTACGACTGTTGTTTTGCTAGGTGTGTAAGGGCCACTGAGAGCATAAGCCGTACATAACGGTGATGAAGGCTGCAGCTGAGGTGGCGGTGTTTTCTGTAGCCGTATATAACTCCAACAATATTGGAGGAGTTAGTAGAATCACTGAAGAAGGCACCCTCTACCACCACCACTTTCATATTTTTCTACAAACTTTTTCTTGAATTATATCGTGTTTCTCACATTCTTTACCAAAGGGCTCACACTAGAAGCTTTCTTTGGATCCATGGTGGCTTATTTAGCAGTCACACACAATAAACAAGTGGCAAAAACAATGGATTATTATGAAATGTTTTGTGTGAAACAACGTAACGCTGGCTGAGAATGCGCGTGGGAGGCAGCTTTGTCTATGCGCTGGGTATTGGACAGGTTCCGTACAATCGACAAAAACAGAAGCCAAAAATCAACAAAAAAAAAAGTCGGCCAAAACTGAAATCAGCGATAACGGAGATCAATGAAAATGGAGGGTCCACTGTATATGATATTTGAAGTGCCAAGAGCGATTATTATTATTATTATTATTATTATTATTATTATTAACACATCGGCCTATTCCCACCAAGGCAAGGTGGCCCAAAAAAGAAAAACTTTCATCATTCACTCCACTGTCTTGCCAGAGAGGTGATTTACACTACAGTTATAAAACTGCAACATTAACACCCCTTCTTCAGAGTGTAGACACTGTACTTCCCATCTCCAGGACTCAAGTCTGACCTGCCAGTTTCCCTGAATCCCTTCATAAATGTTACTTTGCTCACACTCCAACAGCACATCAAGTATTAAAAACCATTTCTCTCCACTCACTCCTATCAAATACGCTCATGCACGCTTGCTGGAAGTCCAAGCCCCTCGCACACAAAAACCACCTCTACCCCCTCCCTCCGACCCTTCCTATGCTGACCCCTACCCTGCCTTCACTACAGATTTGTACACTCTCGACGTCATTCTGTTTTATTCCACTCTCTCCATGTCCAAACCACCTCAACAACCCCTCAGCCCTCTGGATAATAGTTTTGGTAATCCCACACCTACTAATTTCCCAATTACGAATTCTCTGCATTATATTCACACCACACATTGCCCTCAGACATGACATCTCCACTGCCTCCAGCTTTCTCATTGCAACATTCATCACCCATGTTTATTATTATTATTTTTTTTTATTATCACACTGGCCAATTCCCACCAAGGCAGGGTGGCCCGAAAAAGAAAAACTTTCACCATCATTCACTCCATCACTGTCTTGCCAGAAGGGTGCTTTACACTACAGTTTTTAAACTGCAACATTAACACCCCTCCTTCAGAGTGCAGGCACTGTACTTCCCATCTCCTGGACTCAAGTCCGGCCTGCCGGTTTCCCTGAACCCCTTCATAAATGTTACTTTGCTCACACTCCAACAGCACGTCAAGTATTAAAAACCATTCGTCTCCATTCACTCCTGTCAAACACGCTCGCGCACGCCTGCTGGAAGTCCAAGCCCCTCGCACACAAAACCTCCTTTACCCCCTCCCTCCAACCTTTCCTAGGCCGACCCCTACCCCGCCTTCCTTCCTCTACAGACTGATACACTCTTGAAGTCATTATTATTATTATTATTATTATTATTATTATTATTATTATTATGCTTATTGCATGTTCAATACTATTGAGTCACTCTTGGTGATTTTAATGTGTACCTGCATGCCAGCACAGTGTAAGTTTATTTAGGTACAGGTACACACAAGTATAATTTTTTTTTTTTCAACAAACTAGCCATATCCCACCAAGGCAGGGTGGGTGGCCCAAAAAGAAAAACAAAAGTTTCTCCTTTTAAACTTAGTAATATATACAGGAGAAGAGCTTACTAGCCCCTTGCTCCCGGCATTTTAGTCGCCTCTTACAACACACTTGGCTTACGGAGGAAGAATTCTGTTCCACTTCCCTATGGAGATAACAGGAAATAAACAAGAACTAGAAAGAAAAATAGAAAAAACTCAGAGGGGCATGTATATATATGCTTGTACATGTATGTGTAGTGTGACCTAAGTGTAAGTAGAAGTAGCAAGATGTACCTGAAATCGTCCATGTTTATGAGACAGAAAAAAGACAGCAGCAATCCTACCATCATGTTAAACAATTACAGGTTTCCATTTTACGCTCACTTGGCAGGACGGTAGTACCTCCCTGGGCGGTTGCTGTCTACCAACCTACTACCTAGACAAGTATAATTATCAGTATATATAAAATACACTAACTTCAAGGATGTGTGATGTCACCGTGGTTGTTTAATATATTTATAGATGGGGTTGTAAGAGAAGTAAATGCGATGGTCTTGGCAAGAGGCGTGGAGTTAAAAGATAAAGAATCACACACAAAGTGGGAGTTGTCACAGCTGCTCTTTGCTGATGACACTGTGCTCTTGGGAGATTCTGAAGAGAAGTTGCAGAGATTGGTGGATGAATTTGGTAGGGTGTGCAAAAGAAGAAAATTAAAGGTGAATACAGGAAAGAGTAAGGTTATGAGGATAACAAAAAGATTAGGTGATGAAAGATTGAATATCAGATTAGAGGGAGAGAGTATGGAGGAGGTGAATGTATTCAGATATTTGGGAGTGGACGTGTCAGTGGATGGGTCTATGAAAGATGAGGTGAATCATAGAATTGATGAGGGGAAAAGAGTGAGTGGTGCACTTAGGAGTCTGTGGAGACAAAGAACTTTGTCCTTGGAGGCAAAGAGGGGAATGTATGAGAGTAATAGTTTTACCAACGCTCTTATATGGGTGTGAAGCATGGGTGATGAATGTTGCAGCGAGGAGAAGGCTGGAGGCAGTGGAGATGTCATGTCTGAGGGCAATGTGTGGTGTGAATATAATGCAGAGAATTCGTAGTTTGGAAGTTAGGAGGAGGTGCGGGATTACCAAAACTGTTGTCCAGAGGGCTGAGGAAGGGTTGTTGAGGTGGTTCGGACATGTAGAGAGAATGGAGCGAAACAGAATGACTTCAAGAGTGTATCAGTCTGTAGTGGAAGGAAGGCGGGGTAGGGGTCGGCCTAGGAAAGGTTGGAGAGAGGGGGTAAAGGAGGTTTTGTGTGCGAGGGGCTTGGACTTCCAGCAGGCATGCGTGAGCGTGTTTGATAGGAGTGAATGGAGACAAATGGTTTTTAATACTTGACGTGCTGTTGGAGTGTGAGCAAAGTAACATTTATGAAGGGGTTCAGGGAAACCGGCAGGCCGGACTTGGGTCCTGGAGATGGGAAGTGCAGTGCCTGCACTCTGAAGGAGGGGTGTTAATGTTGCAGTTTAAAAACTGTAGTGTAAAGCACCCTTCTGGCAAGACAGTGATGGAGTGAATGATGGTGAAAGTTTTTCTTTTTCGGGCCACCCTGCCTTGGTGGGAATCGGCCAGTGTGATAATAAAAAAAAAATAATAATAAATAACTTCAAAACTTGAAATTTTGGAAAGTTTCCAAACATAATAGATGCAGAGCTCACGGAAGATGTAAATAGAGTGGTGCATGGTCAATGTCATAGTAAATCAGGGAGCTGTATAAAAGAATTTTCTTTCATTTGAAATGTTCGTGTTAGCAAATTACCGTAAAGTAGGGCCCGCCTGTACACGTTAGCTCATGCAGTTACAACTTGCTTGCTAAAATGTCTCATTCCTATGTTCAGCATGCTCAGAGGAATTCATGGTGTTAACCAAACTATAATTTTTTAACTGTGCTTGTAAGCTACGTTAGAGCATGAGCATGGTAACATTTATGAAGGGATTCAGGAATACCAGTTAGCCAGATGTGAGTCTTGGAGGTGGGAAATACAGTGCCTGCACTCTGAATGATGAGTGAGGATGTTAGTCTTGGAGGTGGAAAGTACAGTGCCTGCACTCTGAAGGATGAGTGAGGATGTTAGTCTTGGAGGTGGGAAGCACAGTGCCTGCACTCTGAAGGAGAGGTGGGCTTATTTGTAGTTTCGAATTTATGAAAGTGTTTCTTCTTTTCTGGGTCACCATACCTCAGTGGGAGATGGCCAGTTTGTTAAAAAAAAAAAAAATTGAATATAGCTTGATTAGAAAATTGTACAGGAACCTACCAGATTTTAGATATTGTCACATTTTGAGGTCATGTTACATAAAAAAAGTTTAGTTTTATGTGGTGGTAGTAGAAATTGTGAAGTAGTGAAAAAACCAACCCATACCACGGGTGGGATTGAACCCGCGGTCAGAGAGTAGACTTTGAAGAGTTGGGTACTGCCTGCTCTTTTAGAAAAATGTATTGGTAAATGATAAATATCCATGGAGTTTAGCTTTGAACTATGGCAGTGTCAATCATAAGAATTAGTTTAATATTTCCTTCAAAGTTTGTTTTATTTTGTAGGACTTTGTGTATGTAAGATATGTTTATCTTGACAGTGGACAAGATGACACACATGGTTGGCTCTTATGCCCCGAAGGAAGAAATTCAGTCATACACAACCCCCATGGAAGATGCCCCTTCAGGACTAATTGCCCGTGGACACTACACAGTCAAGTCACTTTTCACTGATGATGATGGCAATGAACACCTCAAGTGGAAATGGTCCTTTAACATCAAGGAGAACTGGAACTGAGGACTAGTCTAAGATGTAGAGGTATAACAAGTACAGAACTTATGAGGGTTGTTTAAGTTTGTAGAATAGCAAATGGTGTTCAATCAGGGAATTAGAAAAGAACTTTGTCCTTTTTCATAACAAAGGTAATACTGGAGTGTTAGGCACAGTATACAATCATGGCATAAGAAGAGAGAGGGTTTGATGCATACTTTTGAGAACTCGTTCATTCTTTGATATGGTGCTTAGATTGCCTGTGCTTCTGAAAAAATGGCTCTGCTGATTTTTGCAACATCTTGACAAAATGAAATGTGGTGTGTAGGTGGATTTAATTATCTTTGTAGCATATCTACAGATGACTGTGTTGTATATGCTCAGGCATTCGGATAATAGGAAGTTAATTTTAAAGTTCTTCCTCAGTATCTTTGTATCCTCATATTGGTTGGTCATTGTAGGCACACTGGGCATATCAAAGCCTAATGCCTTTCTTTCCTATTCTAGCAGATGTACCTATGTACCTAATGTACCTAATAGGCATATTAATTCTCCTGCATTATAATTAGAATTCCAGCATCTTTAGTTTTGTTTGATGATTTTCTGTTGATTCTGCTCTGCCCCCTTTAATGGTTTGTTGCCCATAACCTTATTGTGAGACTGCCACAATGTAGGTAATTATTGGCAGATGAAGCGCACAACATTTTGCAACCATTATTTTGAGCTGCTTCAGTTTGTATCCAGTGTAACAATTTAAACCACAATTAGTGTTCCCTGTTAATGTTATCTATTTTTTTAATTGCTGAGTAATGCGTATCTTATTGCATTCCTTACTGTTTGGAAATCTCAAGGCTGTAATTCCCTTTTATTTTTAATGATCTAATAAACATATTCTTCTAAAATAAGGTAAATAAGTGGCCTCCATTTGTGCCCAGGTGTATAAAATCCAGGTGGGTGCAGTACTTATACTGTATTTACAAATGTTCCATTAGTAATTTCTAATGAGGAAAGCTACATTTTTCTCTTCTGTAGACAGTATTGTATACACTTGAATTATTGTTCCTTTTAGTGATTGATGTGTTTTCAGTAAGCCTGATTCCCCTGCCATGAGCAAGCTGTGCCATTGATAGTATGTAAGGAATTGTAAAAATAAAATCAATGCACAAATAGTAAAGTATGATCATAAGGTGTGCAAAAGCTTAGTTGTGTTGTAAAGACAGTATTCATCTTCCACTGTATGATGATAATGAAGTTTGCCTAGTCATTATGTGTGAATGGAGAAAAATTATTTTGAATAGACACTTTTTAGAGATTTGTGAGCATCTGATATTGCTGTCTCCTAATATTACAGATAGTTTCTTTGTACTTAATAATCAAGGTAATGTAAATGAGTGATCCATGTAATACATAAGGCAAAATCACCGATTAAAACAAATAAGTTCATTATTTCTAAAAGTTCACTTTGTCTTGTAAGAAAAGAGTATGTAACAGGATATTCACGTTCTATTATTTTTGGTCGATAAATTTCCATCCAAAAGTCTTAAGATGCACCTTTAAAGGCCCCTTACAAATTTCCAGCATTGCGTGTTCTACAGTGGAATTGGTAGGCTCAGATGTCAGCATCCCATTACTTTTGGGCAAAAACAACCTTAATAATTTCTTGTCAGTATGTACATTTGCTTCCAAGAATCATGGTGTACAAAATGTTGAGATTTATGTCTTAGACACGGGTCTCATGATCGACTTGATCTAACAAGAATTCCTGATTCTGTGATAAAATTTTGGTACGAACTTTCTTACCTGCTTTTCCACTTTTTTAACAGCAACAGCTTGGGGTGAGTGTTTAACCTGGTGATGTTATTGGTAGTGCCTTTAAGTTGGTTCTATGTGTATTTAGATTTTTGTGGGGCATGATACTGTTTTGTCCTCAAATGTAATTTGGTTAATGTGAAAGGGGGTATTATTTTTTTCTATCATGAATTTGATATGATGTACCAGATAGAAAATCATTTAAAGTTACAATTAGAAAATCCTAAGAGAATTTGGGATACAACTATGCTAAATTTATAGAAATATTTTTTAATTTTATTCATTCCATTACTATTACTTTTCATAGAGCCTACAAGTGAGCATGTAAAAATGTTTCTAGGCTAGTATTACTCCTTGAGATGAGTGGTGTTCAGAGGTGTTTTTCACATCTGAATAAGCTTCAGAACATAATTGGCTGAGAATGCAGTTTAATCATATTGAGGAATATTTTAGAATTTTCATTCATGTTATGATTGTAAGTTTGGTCTACAGTAGATTTTTGATTGTGCCTATTGAATTTTACCAGAAATCATTGATGCAGGCTTTTCAATAAAAATACAATATGTATGAGATAATCAACATATTAATAATTTAGAATCCAAGAGTAACACAGCATCCATTTGCTAAGTTTGGTGTACAGTATTGAAAATTACTTTTATTGAAAACAGCTTTAAACTATTATAGTGGTTCATTGACCTGTGAAATTATTTCATAGCTATTCAAAAAAAGTACAGTATAATTGGAACTTGTTAAATAAAAATTATGGGCATAGATGTATGATCTCTGTATTTCAGTTTTAAGTCTGGCATTTCAGTGGATCAAATAAGTACAAGTTAAATGCCTTTAGTTTTATTTCACTGGGTCCTATATAATACTATTAAAAAATTATCATTTATGTCATTTCTTTTGAGTATAATAATTTAAAGATAAAAAAATTGTGGTTGGCAGTCATCATGATGGTTATTGCAAGAGAACCAGTATTAAAAACACCAACATTACTCTCTAATAAGTTAGACTAATGTTATGGGGGCAATAAACATTTATAATTTTTACTTCACTTCTTTATATACCACCCTTGGAGACTACATATTGAGTAGTTTTGACAGTTCCAAATTTTTAATCATATGAAATTGCATGAAGATGCTTTTGTGGATAAATATCTAAAACAAATTTCTTAAGTTTGTAAGCAGTGGCTTGAAAAAGAACCTGAGAGCAGCCACTATTGTGTGAAGCAACGGAGTGCTTCAAAAGTGACTTAGGCCGTATTGGCCTGGGTTACCCTTATTCTGAGAAATGGATGGCTTGAAAAACTGCTGCAGCATTTGTGATGTGTTTCTATCTGTATTCTTTGCTTCCCATTTTACCTCGCCCAAGTTAGTCCTGGAGCTGCAGCCTAGTGGTGGGGAGTTGACAGTATCTGTACAGGTATGTGTCTACTATTTCCTGTTTACATTGTTTTCTTTATTCCCTCTTCTAGGGACTTTATCTTTGCTGGTTAGCATATAGATCGATCGTGGATTTAAAGATGCTCATGCAGTAAATTGAGAAGATTGTACTCGTGCCAACAGTCTTACATTTTTTGATAAATTATCCCAATCAAGATCCTTCAGCTGAGGTTCCTTGATTCTGGTAGGACTTTTGATCCATCCTTCTTTCAAATGAACTTGTTTGCCTCCCATTCCCCATGCATTGTGTAACCCCCAACAAGTTGAGTGCTGTCCTCTCCCCCTCAGTTATAATATTTCTGGCCAACACAGTGATCTTTCAGTGCTGACTTTCTTCAGACTGCCCTCTAGACAGTTACACCTTTAAGCAGATTTTTTTTTTTTCCTGAAAGTGATTTACTAGTGTTCTCCTCTGATACTATTAACCCCCACCATCTACTGCCAACAGTATTACAGAAACATTTCAGAGTACATTTACTTAACCTGTTTAGATATAGAAGGGACACTACAGGACCCAAAAGGATCACATAATAGAACAAAGGAACATGTGAAAGACCTGGGAGTAATTATGATGCCTGACCATTCTTTTCAAACATGCTAAACTGGATGTTATGACAGCCAGGAAGAGTGGATAATAATTTTCAAAACAAAGGAAATTGCTTGTGCTCGCTTGTTTAGATTAATGTTCTGTGTTGATGGCCCCATTCAAGACGAGATATATCAGAGCTGGGACAGATAGAGAGATCATTCATGGCCTGTGCAGAGCCAATAAAACACTTAAATTACTGGGAATGCCTTGGTCTTAAATATGTACTCATTGGAGCAGAAGAGAGAGATACATGATAATATATACTGTACATACAAAAAAGTATGTGAGGGGCTAGTCCCAAATATGCACACATCATAACATACTGGAGTGAGATATGGGAAGAAGTGCAAGATAAACCCAGTGAAAAGCAGGGGTGATGTGGGCACAGTGAGAGGATATTGTATCAACATTTGTGGTCCCAGACTATTAACCATTTTACCAGAAGTTATTGGAAACACTGCAGGGACAAATGTAGAAGTCTTCAAGAGGAAACTGGATAAGTACTTCCTTTAAGTGCCAGATCAACCAGGTTGTGTTGGATATTTGGGCTAGCAGGCCACAAGCAGTAACAGCCTGGTTGGCTAGGCAAGCACCAGATAAGCCTGGGCCAAAGTTGCTCTAGGAGTAGAAAAACTTTTGGAAGTTAATGATCCACACTGAGAAGCATTGGCATTTAACTACAAGCAGCACTCGCCCTTCCAAATAACAGGACTACTCACAGCCATGGAAATACCACTTCAGTGAACAAAACAATGCAGTATCAATATATAAGGCTTTTTTTTTTTTAAAATTCATTAATAGTCTGTATATGCTCATGTTATAAATGTGGGGAGTTCATATTTGGGTAAGATTAATCAAGAAGTAGATTTAAAAATGGTGGTGGTGAATGGTTGTCTGTGCGATCAGTTGCAGTGTCTCGCATCACCTTACTCCACCACCTTCCCTCCCCACTACACAACCTAGCCATGCAAAAACCCCTCACCATGACTTTCCCACAGCCTTTTGATTCATTCAACATAACACTGAACCAATTAATTATAATTATGTTGCCAGATAAAATAGGAAGAGGGGAGGGCATTCTTGTTGCTGCTGCCTTGCTTAATTACCAATTAAAGGAGGAAAGGAATGTGAGAGAGAGAGGGAGGGATTGAAGAGAAGAAAAGGGCAGGGAGAGAGAGAGGCTTGTTCAAGTACTGTACATTGCTTTTAATTTCATTGAAAAATGAAATACATGGAATATTATGGTTGGGAAAAATGTTGTAGGTTTTAACCCAGAGGTCTTAAGAAAATACATTCAGTATTCCGAATGACTCAGTTTAAACGAACTAATAGGGGAAAGGGGGTTGTCCATTAAATGGGTTGTAAATGCTGCATCAAGGAGGAGGCTGAAGGCAGTGGAGATTTCTGTTCTAGGTTCGCCGGTATAATTGCCCAGCCTTGGCTTCCTTTCACGGGAGTGTCTCAGACCAGTGTCTGGAGATGAATGGTTTTTGGGACTTAACAAGCTGTTGGAATGTGAGCAGGGTAATATTTTGTGAAGGGATTCAGGGAACCCAGTTAGCCAGACTTTAGAGTCCTGGAGGTGGGAAGTACAATGCCTGCATTTTTTAAAGGAGGGATCGTAATGACACGATTGCAAACAAACCATACCACAACGGCTTTGAGGGGACTTGAGCTAGAGTTCGTCACGGCCACGTTAGCTTGAGATTCGTCTGTAAAAACTTGCATTTGTGGTCAGTGGTGCCTATGCTAACCTTCCTATGGTGTAGAAATATACCTAGTTGGACGAATCTTATTGTGGCTAGCTGGTCCAGTGGCTAACGCGACGGTCTGGAGTTTTGAGACTGATTGCGGGTTCTATCCCCGCCCATGGTATGGTTTTTTTAAAGGAGGGGTTTGGGATATTGGCTGTTTGGCATGACGCCTAAACTGTCATATCTAGGCGACTCTGCAACGACAGTGACTGTGTGTATAAGTCTTTTTTTTTTTTTTTTTTTTTGGAGGGGGGGGTCACCCTGCCTTGGTGAGCAACGATACACACATACATACATACATATACACATACGTGTGTGTGTCTGTGATGAGCGAGGTTCCACAGGGGTCAGTCCTAGGACCAGTGTTGTTTCTGGTATTTGTGAACGACATGACTGAAGGAATAGACTCCAAAGTGTCGCTGTTCGCAAACGATGTGAAGTTGATGACGGGGACCGGGCAGAACTACAGAGGGATCTGGACAGGCTGCAGGCCTGGCCCAGCAACTGGCTCCTGAAGTACAACCCCACCAAGTGCAAAGTCATGAAGATTGGGGAAGGGCAAAGAAGACCGCAGGTATAGTAGTCTATGGGGCCAGAGACTACAAACCTCACTCAAAAGGACCTTGGGGTGAGTATAACACTGGGCACATCTCCTGAGGCACACACCAACCAAATATGGCAGCTTACGGGCACCTAGCAAATGTGAGAACAGCATTCCAACATCTTAATAAGGAATTGTTCAGGACCTTGTACACATTAGGCCCATATTGGAATATGCAGCACTAATTTGGAACCCCCACGTAGCCAAGCATGTAAGGAAACTAGAGTAAGTGCAGAGGTTTGCAACTAGACTGGTCCTGGAGCTAAGGGGTATGCCCTACGAGGAGAGGTTAAGAGAAATCGACCTGATGACAGGAGAGATGGGGGGGGGGGGATATAATGACGTACAAAATACTGAGAGAGTCGACGAGGACAGACAGGATGTTCCAGATAGGACACAGCAACAAGGGGTCACAGTTGGAAGCTGAAGACTCAGAGAGTTGTCTGGGAAGTGATGTAGTGGAGGCAGGATCCATAACATGGCTTTAAGAAGAGGTATGATAAAGCTCATGGAGTGACCTAGTAGTGGCCACCGAAGAGGCAGGGCCAGCTGTGACTCGACCCCTGCAACCCACACACACATTGTTCGGACAGTCTTTTAGGGTCATGTTGGGAAAACTGTGCAAATGCTGAAGACCCTCAGAAGTGTATCCCCCCCCCCCCCTGAAACTCCTACTTGCATGCACAACAAAACATTCCATGTGCATACACAGTGCCCACTCCCCCCCCCCCCCCTTTCAGAAAAAAAAATTGGTATCATCGCATCACTAGCTGTTACACAAAGCAATTTAATTATGAAACTGCTTCATTATTTAAGAAATAGTGCAAATATGTATAATAAGGAACTTCAACACTAAACACATTATACAATAAAAGTATTTTATTCTGTAAGAAGCCAAATCAAAATGTACACCGGAGCAACAATGTGTTCCTTCCAACATTTGTACAGTAATATGAAATCCTATCACGCACTGATCAATTTCTTAATGACAAATCTCTCCCTAAGTTAATAATGTTGCAAAATTGCCTTCCCCAGGCTAGGTCAGATGAGGATGATTACTAAAGGCCCATGAATCTTTATATTCACGACCACAATATTTTTTTTATGTAAATACCAAGATACTTAAGTGTTTTAATCAGACAATCACAGCTAGTTCTACGATATTAAAGGGTCACATGACCAATCACGGGTAACACATACCTTGGGCATTAACTGAGCAATCACAGGTGATTAAACACCTTTGGCCCCTACATATTAACTGGGGATAACACAATATACTCTTAGCCTGGTCACTCCCTGATCACCAAGGCATGCTGAACATTTCTACAGATCAATTACCTCTCTAAATTCTCGAAGGTACAGTAGTTCAAATTAAAATGTGTAGCACCCCATCTCGTCTCTGTCTTACCAGCTGGCGTGGGTTTCCTATTACAAAAATTGCATATCAGTGGATGTCTACCTTATTGTTTACTCTTAACTCAATGAGAAATTTGCATTCCAAATTACCAGCTGGTTAAAAATTAAACTGGGCAATTTACATCAACCAGGAAATGCTGATAAGTTAATTTGTTCAAACAAAATCAAATTAGGTCTGCACAGTCGTTTAGAGTAAAACACATCCCACCCCATTTCCCCCCCCCCCATCAATAAATACTAAAAACTAAAATTATTGCAATAAAAATAAATTTACAATAAGGTAACATGCCTAATATTCTCATATAAACAATTTTCTTTGATTCGGAATACCTTAAATATGCTTCGATACAAATAAATGAAGCCTGCAATAATTTATTAGAGCAAAAAATTTGTACGTAGTTTAGCTTGCTCATCACAAATAATTTTATGACTGGCATTGACAATCTAGTAGTCAATGACACACATACCCGGTAAATGAGGACAGTCTTAAAGAAGTATAGTATTAAGAATGTGCTAACATAACGAACATGTCCAAATACCTCATTCATACTACCATGGACCCCTTTCTCAATGTCTTTGGGCTGTATAACAGATGCACTTGCATTCACTGATACGCTGACTTGCATGGCAAAACTATATAAAAAGTGTTGAGAGTATAACATAAGTTACTGCTTGACAGTACATACTGTCAAGAGAGATCTTAATGCTGACTGTACACAAAAAAAAATTTAAAGATATTAGACAAACATTCAAGTAATGCATTGCTTAATTCAAGACTCCTCAACGTGTTGATTTGTGTATGAATTTAGCACAAAAAATAATGGACGAGAAACTAGCTTCCTGTACGAATTTTCCTCAAGTTATGGTTTATAGGTCAGCCAGACTATACTGTAAAAGTTACTTTTTTTGTGTGTGTGTATGTGGTAGTATTAGGTTAAATGTTACTCCTTATATCAATCAAATTGTCAAAGTATTGCAAAATTTAATAAATGGATACGGCACTGTTCTTGGGAATATAGCCACTACGTAATTAAGGACATGACATTACAATAGCTAAACATCCTCTGTAATTCAAGATTTAAGTGACAAGCATTAAATAATAATAGTTACTCACAGCTCAAATATTCAATACTTGTTTAAAATATTTCATTAAAATTTATTCATTCCTAAACTATGATCACAGGTCATTCAAAATATCATTTCTTATCCACACTGATGTGTTATATAACACAAGACAACAAAAAAAAACCTGATAAGTATTTATTACAATAGTAATATGAACTTGAAATTTGGCACACAAGTGAAGGGTGAAAATAACTAAATTCAACCATTGTAATACCTAAAATGTTTCCAGAGAAAATATCAAAATGAGGAATACTAAAATTATAAATCTCTGTTGTATAGTAAGTATTCATCTATGAATAATCTGAGGATGTTTAATGCCAGATACCGTTAATACCAAACGGTTTATAATAAAAAAAATTCAATGTCTGCCTAAAAAATTAACTTGTTAAAAAAATGCTGCTGAGCATATGCAAGAATTAAGGAACGAGAAGTGTAATAAAAGTGGCTTATTTATTAAAGCTACTCGTGCTTCTGACTGAAATACCGACAAGATAAGAAATAGACTTAAGAAAGGCTTTCAACAATATAATATTAACATGTTTATATAAGGCTAAACAGGATACCTAATGAAGCTTATTTCCATTGATATAATTAGCAACATTTTATCTGCTACCACAACTGATACTTTTCTAAAAACAGTTCAATTGCAAGTTCTTGATAACTGGCCATAAGCGTCATCTTTCTAAACAAGATAGGGGCCCTTGCCCTGATGGAATATGCCATTTTACCCTAATGTCTGATGACAAAGTTGCAAAACACCAGAGACTGGAGTCCTGGGACACCCAAGTAATGGAATGATCACTAGAATGGAATGACACCTATTGTGACACTTTCCTTCACATAGACCACCTATCATAAATTTCAATAATGGTATTACCACCTACTAGGATGCTTTCAGCTTTGTATTTTTCAAAACCCAAATACTCTTGTCTCGTGTAGATAATTTTTTCAAGTGATTCACATGTATCCTAACTACAGTTTTTTTAAATCTCCCAAAGGAAATGTCAAGTTTCATACTTTTAACATAATTTTAATTGACATCCACATAGTTAAATGGCTGCCCGGCCATCTGCTAGATCTAAGGTCCTCAGACAAACGAACAGCCATTTCTTCACACCTGAGTTTGCTGACCCTATCACAGGCTGGCCAGGACAACAAAGTATAATAACATGGACTCCACAGCATTGTGATCACAGTATGAACACATATACAGATGATGATGACAGTGATGATGATAATGAACACAGCACACAGACCAGCTACACACAGGTGAATCACTAAACTCACCACAAAACTCACCTACAGTGCTCTAGGTAACATAGCCTCAATCCACACCTAACACTCATGGCATGCTCTGCTTTAGTGCTCGTGTGCCATATTTCAGTCCTGGTCATCTACAGAAAAAAATATTAATATTAATACCCATTAAATGTGAAGACATCCTGAATGTACTTATGCACTCGATGTACTGTACTTAATTCATAAAGGCATGCCCTGTCATTATTACAGTCCAGCACTTCTATATGTTGTCACAAACACAAGGCATTGCAAACCATGATACTTTTATTCAACTCTGCATTCCACTCATTACTAGGAATACAAGATGGTACTTTCAGTATTCACAATTTTTGTCACCGTCCATGAGGCTGTGTTAAATGGCCAAAGCATCTTCCGCTTAAACTTTTCTATCATACCTGAGCGTAACAGCACGACACTTTGTTTTTCGCAAGAAGGCTATTGGTGTGAACACTTATGGGAGGTATGTCAGCATTCTGCATACCAATAACTCACCTACACAAACCACTCAATATGTTGCAACAAAGTCCAATTACTTCCATAATGAAAGACACCAATTTGTTACCAATTATCTATAAAAATAAGATAATTAACAGAGTTTCTTGAAATCACAAGCACAATTCCAGTCTACTAGTGCCCAAGTTTCATGCTCGTCTCTATTTATATATTATCACATGAGGCAAAACCACACCACCTTATGATTCTGAGAGATTTTCAGATTCATAATTGGAATTTCAGCAGTCAAATTTTTGCATAAGTCTTTTTCCAATCACTACATATAACATTCCAAACCAGCACATATACAGCCAACCACTTCACGGTTGACAATTCCTCAGTCTGTGGAGCCACAAACCTTGCTGTTGCATCATTTATTTAAACATTTAGATAACAAAAATCTTTAATTTAGTCAATGCAAAACAAAACAAAAAAAAAAAAAAAAACACTAAACCAGATTTAAAACTGATTATACCAATTGCAATTGTCCATTTAGGTTTTCCCCTTGTACACTTTTTCCAATCTATTCCATCCTGTTTTTTGTACTTCCTGCTCCTCCCTTCACACCTGGCAGGTTTGTACCACACAGAATACCATTTCCTTCTCTTAAAGTAAATATTTTCATGATTTATTCCAGGTGAATGGAATGCCTTCACAATCCACAGATAACGCCAAGAAAAAAAAAATCCTGCACATATTATTCAGCTTTCCACAACCACTAATATCTCCTCAGATGTATCATCAGCTCCACTTGAAAAGTCCTTTATATGAACCCGATGTCTTTAAAGGAAAGGGGTTATATATGTTTGCAACCTGATCACTAGTCTGCCCTCGTGGTCCAGCCACAGGGTCATCTGCGGTTGAGATTGTTGCACCTCATTTGGTTGGTGGAGCTGCTGCTAGACCTGAGGGAGCTCCCGCTGCCACTGCTGTCTGTCCCACCCCCAGTGCTGCAATAATGTAAGACATTTAACAATAACATTAAAAGAACAAAACAAATCCCTCTCAATATATTTGATTTAGCTATTTTATCCTCTTTTCAAATGTTAATACAGAATTATAATTCAATAAAAAAGCAGGCAAAATACAAATAGAAAAATAAATGTAACAGAGGCCATCTAGTTTTTCACAAATAATATACAGTATGTATGGCTTTTGTGTATAATGCCTCCTTTTTATAGCAAATCAATAAGCATTATCTACTAATTTTAAGCTGTACTGTGTGTAGCCTGTTGAAGCCTTACCTGTATAATGATACTGTGGGGGGATCAGAGAGTAGGGAGAGAAGCCCTCATGCAGGTGGTGTGTGGGGGGACGTGCTGTGGGGGGAGACCGCCCCTCTACCCCTCCTCCCACAGACCCACTCCCTCCGTGGGTCAAGGATGAGGAGGAAGAAGGTATGGAGCCGGAGGCAGAAGAGGTGGAAGTGACGGGTGTCAGTGGTGATCCATCTTTGTTAGCCATTGGAGAACCCACCTTTTGAGGGGTGCTCAAGATGCTGGGGGGTGTCATACCCAAGGCTGCTGAAGACAGAGGAGACTTTCTAGCACGTTCTTGTAGCTCGTGAATTTTATGACTTGAATAAAGATGTGAAGGATGAATCATTGCTCCACTAGACCCACCCCGAGACAGATCTTCTGGTGTATTACTGACGGCAGGAGTTAGAGGAAACCTGGGCACCATCCCTGGAGGAGCTAAATAGTGTGGTGGTGGATAACCGGCAGGCATTGTTAATGAAGGAACCATAGGTCTATAGGGGTCATAAGGTAGAGGACTGTATGGGAAAGATGGAAAATAAGCTGTTGAAGTTGGTGGTGGTGGAGGACCAGTTGTTTCCATAGTTGGCTTCACTCCTTCATTCTTATTCTCTGATTTTTTGTCTCTGTCATCTTTATTGTTAATTGAGCCTGCAGGGGGTGTCGACACAACTCGAGGACTAGAAAGAGGTGCTGGGGGTGAAGGCTTAGGTATTCCCATAGCTTTGTCCCCTGCTTTATCTTGAGGTTGTGTTTGTAGTGGTAAGCGCTGATCAAATGGATACCTGTATGCAATTGTAGGTTCATCAAATGGCCGTTTATCTACTGGGAGTTGACCCTTAAGCTCGTGTGGTTCTTTGAGTATTGCATGATTTTCTGTTTGCTTGTCTTTTGTAACCCCTAATTTGTCTTTAGGCACAACAGACGACACTGTTCCTGGCAGTCCAGGTGCCGATCTTGATAAATCTGTAGGACCTTTATCTCCTTCTCTGACTTGCACCAAGTCTTTACCTTCCGCTTCTTTATATATTTGCGCTTCTCTTAAGAATGGATCTGAGTAACTTGGATTATATAAATAATGGGATGGATATAGATATTGAGGAGGAATTTTATTAAGATATTCACTACTGCTTGGAGGAGGTAAAGTATCTCTTTTATCACTATCACCAGTTTTATCCTTAACATCTTTATTATCTCCTTCCTTACCTGGTGTGGTAGATGGCGGAGGTTGTATTGGAGGAATAAGAAAAGGTGGGGGCTGTCCATATGGACTAGGATAGTACATTCCATAGGGAGGATAAGGTTGTGCACCTAGAGGTAATTCAGGTTTCTTATCATCTTGCATATTTTTATTATTACTATCTCCATCTAATACTGGAGCAGTATCATTCGCATCAGATATGTCGGAATATGCTGGACTTCGAGCATCTTCTCTTGTGGATTGGTCTTCTTCTCTGGTGTCTTTCCCTATTAAACCATTTACCAAATCTTTAGGTTTACCTTTATCTGATTCCAAGAGTGACTGCTTTACAGTTATTAAACCAGGCGAGTTTCCAGGTAGGCTAGAGAGGGGAGTACCTTGAGGTGTCATGGGTAAGCTGGATGTAACTGGGGATCCAGCAGGGATGGGTCCAGGTGGTCTAGGACCTGTTGTTCCTACTCTCATCATCATCTCTGGACGAGCTTCAGGTCGTATTAACCCTGGCCTAATTTGTGGGATGCTGCCAGGAATAGGTGACATACCCAAAGCTGGGGAACCAACCTGTGGATGCTGTGGGCTAACAACACCACCAGACCCTGTATACATGTACACTGCCTGGTTGGGTTGTGGTACACGTGTCTGAATGACACTGGGTTGAGTTGTGGGAAGTGGTGTGGTCCCCTTGGCAGTTTCTTCACTGGGACCAGGGCTTGGCGTTGCTGGTGGGCCAGTGTACCGAAGAACTGAAGGTTTAACAACATCCTGTGCCGACTTGTCCACAGGCGTCTCTACTACAGGTGTAGGAGATGATGGTTGACTCTCTTCCACTTCACTCTCTGCTCGACCTTCTGTACTGGTTGTCTCATCGTCATTCGTAACACTGTTGTGGGCATGACTCTGATGATATTTTAACCCGTTGATGTGTTTGTACTTCTTGTTACAGTTAGGCTCGGGGCACTCAATCAGCTGGGGTGAAGAAGGTTGCTCTGGCCCAGGACTGGTTGCACCATTGGTTGGTGTTCCACGCGAAGAAGCACGTGACCGTTTCCAGTTTTTTGTTTCTGGTACCTCTGGCTCCCGACCCTTACGTTTGGTCCCACCAGGTTCAGATTTGACTGGACTAGGAGGAGGGTTAAAAGTAGGAGTTACATTCCCTCTGCGCCCCTTCACATTGGCATTACGTAATTTGCCACTGCGTGTTTCTGCTACACTGAGGTCGTTGCCGGGTGTACCAGCAGTCGTAGTGCCAGCCCGCCCCCTCTTGCCCCGACCTTTGGGCGTCCGAGACTCTATATCACTGGTAGGCGAGTCACAGAACCTGGTGGGAAGAGAGGGGAGAGAGGCGAGTCAGTTGACACAGTAGCCACTCACCCCACACACCACAACACTCACCCTATACTCTCAAGTCTAAGGAAAGGATAACTACAGATAGAGAGCTAAGTGTTGAGCTACAAAACAAGCCCTTCTTAATACCAACGTGGTATCAGTGTACAATATTTAAATATTTCTTTCACAAAAAAGTTTTAATGAATTTTCAATATTTATAAAAATATTTGAGATGATTTACATATTATATCTAATAAATACATAGGTGCTCATGGATGCAATGGATGTGTGGGATACCAATGAGTGAAGCAGATATTGTCTACTTCACTTTCTTAGATATTTTTAATATTTCTTACAAGTTATCTATGGCTTTAACTCTGCTAGGCTGTTTTGTAGCTCCACATGCAGAGGCAAATACTTTCAAGAATCCCTTACCTTGGAGGGGCCCAGTCATGTCGTGTACAGTCTAAGAGAGTTCCAACGTAAGTTTTGCCACGCCACGTAACATTCACCACCAACACCCCTGAAACATTTTTTAATAGTTTATTTTTATTTTTTTTTTTTTTATTATCACACTGGCCGATTCCCACCAAGGCAGGGTGGCCCGAAAAAGAAAAACTTTCACCATCATTCACTCCATCACTGTCTTGCCAGAAGGGTGCCTTACACTACAGTTTTTAAACTGCAACATTAACACCCCTCCTTCAGAGTGCAGGCACTGTACTTCCCATCTCCAGGACTCAAGTCCGGCCTGCCGGTTTCCCTGAACCCCTTCATAAATGTTACTTTGCTCACACTCCAACAGCACGTCAAGTATTAAAAACCATTTGTCTCCATTCACTCCTATCAAACACGCTCACGCATGCCTGCTGGAAGTCCAAGCCCCTCGCACACAAAACCTCCTTTACCCCCTGCCTCCAACCTTTCCTAGGCCGACCCCTACCCCGCCTTCCTTCCACTACAGACTGATACACTCTTGAAATTATTCTGTTTCGCTCCGTTCTCTCCACATGTCTGAACCACCTCAACAACCCTTCCTCAGCCCTCTGGACAACAGTTTTGGTAATCCCGCACCTCCTCCTAACTTCCAGGATTCGAACCCATGATGTACTGGCCTGCCTCATGGCAAGCGAGAACCACACGACGCTTTAAACCACATGACCACCCAACCCTAGGGTGGGTTGGGTGGTCCTGTGGTTTAAAGCTTCATGTGGTTCTCGCTTACCATGAGGCAGGCCAGTACAACATGGGTTCGAATCCTTGGCTAGCACAGTCTTGTTTATTTATATATATATATATATATATATATATATATATATATATATATATATATATATATATATATATATATATATATTAATATAATATAAGACAAGCTAAAGGGGTGAGCAATGGATGTGCAGGAGTTGTGCAATGTTGCAAAGGCAACAACAGGAGAAGTAAGGTGGGTATGTGTATATTTTTCTTTTTTCATCGAGTCAGCCGTCTCCCACCGAGGCAGGGTGACCCAAAAAGAAAATACTTTCATCATTATTCAACACTTTCACCTCACTCATACAAAATCACTGTTTTTGCAGAGGTGCCCAGATACAACAATTTAGAAGCATATATAAAGATATATAACATATCCCTCCAACTGCCAATATCCCAAACCCTTCCTTTAAAGTGCAGGCATTGTACTTTCCATTTCCAGTACGGCTATATAAAAATAACCAGTTTCCCTGAATCCCTTCACTAAAATTATTATTATTATTATTATTATTATTAACACAATGGGCATTTTCCACCAAGGCAGGGTGGCTCGAAAAAGAAAAACTCCATTACTGTCTTGCCAGAGGTGTGCTTACACTACAGTTATAAAACTGCAACATTAACACCCCTCCTCTGCAACTTCTCTTCAGAATCTCCCAAAAGCAGTGTCATCAGCAAAGAGCAACTGTGGCAACTCCCACTTTTTTAGATTCTTTATCTTTTAACCCCAACACCTGAGCATTCACTTCTCTTACAACTACACCTATAAATATATTGAACAACCATGGTGACATCACACATCCCTGTCTATGCCCTATTTTTACTGAGAAATAATCTCCCTCTCTCCTACACACACCAAACTGAGCCTCATTATCCTCGTAAAAACCTTCGCTGCTTTCAATAACATACCTCCTATTCCATACATTTGCAACATCTGCCACATTGCTCCCCTATCCACTATCATATATATGCCTTTTTCAAATCCATAAATGCCACAAAAACCTCTTTACCCTTATTTAAATAGTATTCACCTATAAGTTTCATTGTAAACACTTGGTCTACACACCCCCTACCCTTCCTAAAGCCTCCTTGTTCATCTGTCCATCTTACTCTCCATCTCACTCTTAATTCCTTAAAATAAATAATGGAAGAGAAGTTGCAGAGATTGGTGGATGAATTTGGTAGGGTGTGCAAAAGAAGAAAATTGAAAGTGAATACAGGAAAGAGTAAGGTTATGAGGATAACAAAAAGATTAGGTGATGAAAGATTGGATATCAGATTGAAGGGAGAGAGTATGGAGGAGGTGAATGTATTCAGATATTTGGGAGTGGACGTGTCAGCGGATGGGTCCATGAAAGATGAAGTGAACCATAGAATTGATGAGGGGAAAAGGGTGAGTGGTGCACTTAGGAGTCTGTGGAGACAAAGAACTTTGTCTTTGGAGGCAAAGAGGGAATGTATAAAAAGTAATAGTTTTACCAACGCTCTTATATGGGTGTGAAGCATGGGTGATGAATGTTGCAGGAGGAGAAGGCGGGAGGCAGGGGAAATTTAATGTTTGAGAGCAATGTGTGGTGTGAATATAATGCAGAGAATTTGTAGTTTGGAAGTTGGGAGGAGTGCGGATTACCAAAACTGTTGTCCAGAGGGCTGAGGAAGGGTTGTTGAGGTGGTTCGGACATGTGGAGAGAATGGAGCGAAACAGAATAACTTCAAGAGTGTATCAGTCTGTAGTGGAAGGAAGGCGGGGTAGGGCGGCCTAGGAAAGGTTGGAGGGAGGGGGTAAAGGAGGTTTTGTGTGCGAGGGGCTTGGACTTCCAGCAGGCATGCGTGAGCGTGTTTGATAGGAGTGAATGGAGACAAATGGTTTTTAATACTTGATATGCTGTTGGAGTGTGAGCAAAGTAACATTTATGAAGGGGTTTTAGGGAAACCGCAGGCCGGACTTGAGTCTTGGAGATGGGAAGTACAGTGCCTGCACTCTGAAGGAGGGGTGTTAATGTTGCAGTTTAAAAAAATGTAGTGTAAAGCACCCTTCTGGCAAGACAGTGACGGAGTGAATGATGGGGAAAGTTTTTCTTTTTTCGGGCCCCTGCGTTGGTGGGAATCCGGCCAGTGTGATAATAAATAAAAATAATTTATATATAATATATATATATATAATATATATAATATATATATATATAATATATATAAATTTTAATATAATATTATATATATATTTTAATAAAAATTTATATATTATAAATATAATATTATAATATATATAATATATAAATATAAATATATATATAATATATTTATTTATTTTATTATCACACTGGCCGATTCCCACCAAGGCAGGGTGGCCCGAAAAAGAAAAACTTCACCATCATTCACTCCATCACTGTCTTGCCAGAAGGGTGCTTTACACTACAGTTTTTAAACTGCAACATTAACACCCCTCCTTCAGAGTGCAGGCACTGTACTTCCATCTCAGGACTCAAGTCCGGCCTGCCGGTTTCCCTGAACCCCTTCATAAATGTTACTTTGCTACACACTCCAACAGCACGTTCAAGTATTAAAAACCATTTGTCTCCATTCACTCCTATCAAACACGCTCATGCATACCTGCTGGAAGTCCAAGCCCCTCGCACACAAAACCTCCTTTACCCCCTCTCTCCAACCTTTCCTAGGCTGACCCCTACCCCGCCTTCCTTCCACTACAGACTGATACACTCTTGAAGTCATTCTGTTTCGCTCCATTCTCTCTACATGTCCGAACCACCTCAACAACCCTTCCTCAGCCCTCTGGACAACAGTTTTGGTAATCCCGCACCTCCTCTTAACTTCCAAACTACGAATTCTCTGCATTATATTCACACCACACATGCCCTCAGACATGACATCTCCACTGCCTCCAGCCTTCTCCTCGCTGCAACATTCATCACCCATGCTTCACACCCATATAAGAGCGTTGGTAAAACTATACTCTCATACATTCCCCTATTTGCCTCCAAGGACAAAGTTCTTTGTCTCCACAGACTCCTAAGTGCACCACTCACTCTTTTTCCCTCATCAATTCTATGATTCACCTCATCTTTCATAGACCCATCCGCTGACACGTCCACTCCCAAATATCTGAATACATTCACCTCCTCCATACCCCTCTCCCTCCAATCTGATATTCAATCTTTCATCACCTAATCTTTTTGTTATCCTCATAACCTTACTTTTCCTGTTTTTCACCTTTTAATTTTCTTCTTTTGCACCCCTACCAAATTCATCCACCAATCTCTGCAACTTCTCTTCAGAATCTCCCAAGAGCACAGTGTCATCAGCAGAGAGCAGCTGTGACAACTCCCACTTTGTGTGGGGATTCTTTATCTTTTAAACTCCACGCCTCTTGTCAAGACCCTCCATTTACTTCCTTACAACCCCATCTATAAATATATTAAACAACCACGGTGACATCACACATCCTTGTCTAAGGCCTACTTTTACTGGAAAAAATTTTCCCCTCTTTCCTACATACTCTAACTTGAGCCTCACTATCCTCGTAAAAACTCTTCACTGCTTTCAGTAACCAAACCTCCTACAACCATACACTTGCAACATCTGCCACATTGCCCCCTATCCTCCCTGTCATACGCCTTTTCCAAATCCATAAATGCCACAAAGACCTCTTTAGCCTTATCTAAATACTGTTCATTTATATTGTTTCACTGTAAACACCTGGCCCCACACACCCCTACCTTTCCTAAAGCCTCCTTGTTCATCTGCTATCCTATTCTCTGTCTTACTCTTAATTCTTTCAATAATAACTCTACCTACACTTTACCAGGTATACTCAGCAACTTTTTCCCCTATAATTTTTGCACCTCTTTTATCCCCTTTGCCTTTTTTACAGAGGAACTATGCATGCTCCTGCCAATCCCTAGGTACCTTACCCTCTTTCCCTACATTTATTAAATAATTGCACCAACCACTCCAAAACTATAAACCCCACCTGCTTTTAACATTTCTATCTTTATCCCATCAATCCCGCTGCCTTACCCCCTTTCATTTTACCTACGCCCCACGAACTTCCCCCACACTCACAAGTGGCTCTTCCTCACTCCTACAAGATGTTATTCTCCCCTTTCCCTATACACGAAATCACAGCTTCCCCATCTTCATCAACATTTAACAATTCCTTAAAATATTCCCTCCATCTTCCCAATACCTCTAACTCTCCATTTAATAACTCATCCTCCCTATTTTAACTGACAAATCCATTTGTTCTCTAGGCTT